TCAGCAGGACAGGATAGGTTGGGATAGTTGCAAAGTATATGTTTACAGACTCCAAGTGAGGAAAGAGAATTGGGGCAGTCATGAAAGACAGTGGAGGATATTGAACTCCAAGCCAGAAACGTTAGTGATGAGCCGCAGAAGAGCTCTAGGCAGAGGCTGTAGGGGCGGGGCACACACAGCTCATAGAGAGAGGGCAAATGCAGCTAGACCCAAGGGTTCAAGTTGGGGAGGGGTAGAAAATAAACCTTAGAAAGGCTGGCTAGTGCCTTGAATGCTAAAGTAAGCCAGCATTCCCAAACAGGCCCTCAAGGAACCCTAGTCTTGCAAAATGTCCCTGGGGAAGGTGGCGAAGGGAAGGAAGGGTTCATGGGCAATGAAAATCAGAATATACTGTCTCCCCTTTGGAGGGTCAGCATTCACAACAGCATATTAAATGCTCTGAGAAGTCCCGCAGAGGAGGCCTGTTTGGTCTGGTTAAACCTTCTTCTCCCTGACCAACAGAACTCATTTTTTTCCTCTGTTACATCTAGTAACATCTCTTAGAATTAGTATTTTATGGAACATACGTTAGGAAGTAATATATAGAACCCAAGGGAACCATTTTCTAAATTCATATTAGTGAATTTTAGACATCTTAACATTTGCCAATTTATAATTAACAGAAGCCTTGGATTTCTCTTTAGTTCTCTTTTCATAGCTGTAATTTTAAAGTCCAAAAGTGCAAAGAAGGAACAGGACGAGTCGTGATGTGGCGGATGGGAATCCTAAACAGCTATACCATGGAGTCTACCTTTGGTGGGTCCACCCTGGGTAAGCTCTCTTTTGTATATCATAAGCCAGCATGGCAAGGGGACGCCAAGCAAAGCATTGGAGAGATGAAATCTCCTTGAATGTTGGGGAAATAATTGACCTAGAAGATTTTCTTGTCTGTGCCTTAATGTTAAATTTGAGAACCCAAAATATGAGTGTGAAATGTAATACCTGATGGGGCAGTATAGCATAGTTGTTGCTGAGGCCCTGGAAATCAGGCAGGTCTGGGTTTAAATTTCCGTTTACTGTCAATAATAATAGTACCTGCATTACAGGCACTACTTAATGAGGCAGTGCATGTAAAGCACTTGACATAGTACCTACCACAGAGTAAAACCTCAGTAACCATAGCCATCATGATTGTAAACTTGTTCATTGTCAAAGATTCTCCTGAATCAAACTAAAACTAGGAGGAGAGAGACCCTGTCCAGAAGCGTAATATTCTAGAATCATAGGTGGTGTTTCTAACGAGATATTCATAAATTAGATTTACATTTGCTCATTAAGATTTAATGAGAAGTGTTACGGATTTTTTCCGCAGGCAATAAAAGAGACACTCACTTTACCCCTGAGGATCTAAAATCCCTGGGTTATCATGTCTGTGATACCCTTCTGGATTTCTGTGATCCTGACAGAACCAAGGTAAAAATGGGGTTTCAAGAAATATGGTGATGTTTCTGTGATCGTTTTCACATGGGTCCGAAGTCAGCCCAGTGGGATTACAAGCAATCTTTATTTTCCTCTTAATATTTTTCTGAAGTTTTTTCTAATCAAAGAAAATAAGAACGCCCCCAGCCTGCAGTCTCAGCAAATAATAAGACCTCATACTTCCCCAAGAACAGAGGCCATGGTGCCAGCTTCCCTTCAGCACACCTCTCCCTCACTTCTAGGCTTAGCTGTGGCAGCACCAATTCTTACTTCCCTTCCTCCTATTTCAGAAAATCAGGTGTCCTTTCTCTTCTCCAACACTATCCCTGTCCTTCAAACACTTGCCAACCTCCCCTGTGGCCGCCCTGAGGTCTTGCCTCAGTTACCTCCTCTCTTTTCTGTGCCCTCAGTTTTTTTCTTTTCTTCTTCCCCTCAACTGCAGATGTTCTCAAGCTGCCCCCATCCTAAATCACAAACAAAGGCTTCCTTTAGCCTTGTTGCTCCAGGAGATTATTTCTATTTCCCATCACCACTCGCCTTCTTAAAAGGGAGCCGGTACTCATGGTCTCTATCTCTTTTCTCATACCCCCTCTGAAATGTCGGCCCTGGGAACACATGACATGCACCACTCTGGATGCAACTGTTCAATTAAAAAATACTTAAAAGACACTTTGACCTCAACATAGGGCCTGTTAAATCAGATTTGCCATAGGCCAAATTCTGAACAACCCCATTCTAACTTTCCCTACCTTGCTACTCAAAAAAATAAAATAAATCTGACCTTTGCATTGTTCAAGAAGTGTATTATTGGCTTTAGCCAGGGAAAAGTGGCTAAAGCAGTGTTCACTGATATTCTGCCCTAAAAATGCTTCTGTCTGTTCCTACAGCTCATGTAACTTATTGTTAACATGTCCTTAGTAGCAGAGGTTACAGCTTACTCATCTTTATGACCCCAGCAATAAATAAAGTGCCTTTCAGCATATACTTAGTAAATATCTGATGAATAACTAAATGAGTAATCAAAACTAGTTCTTTTTCTCACTTCCATAGTTCATGCAGTGTCTAGCAGAGCTTAAAGAGCTCTTGCAACAGGAGATCCATAAGAAATTCAAAGAACTTGGACAAGATGTGGATTTAGAAGGAAGCTGGAGTGACATCTCTTTGTTTGACCTTGAATCCAGGTAACAAACTTCATTTCAAAGAAAAAACATAGGGTTTCTTTTTTTTTTTTAATTGTCTTGCCTGCTCTGTTGTTTTGTTGGTTTTGAACCTCAGGTGCAAAATATTGAATAAATCACGGCACACTTGAATGCACTTCATTCCTTCAACAACTATGTATTGAGTGCCTGATCTTTGACAGCCTCTTTTCTAGGCTCTAGAAAGGGTTAGGGAGATGGGCAGGCAATTTGTATAGGGCCTCGTAGGCAACTGTGAAGTCTTTGTCTTTTACTTCAAGGGAGATGGAAAGCCTTTGGAAGGTTTTAAGTACACAAATATCGTGCCTGACTTAGGTTTTACTGGGGTTGCTATGTGGAAAAGAGATTGTAAAGAGGAAAGGTCTAAGCAGGACACTCATTAGGAGGCTTTTGCAATAATACAGAAGAAGGGTGATGGTGCTTAGGGGTGTAGCAGTGTTTGGGGTTGTGGGAATTGGTTGGATTCTAGATATATTTTGAAGTTTCAAACATTAAGATTTGCTTATGGATTGGATATCGGGCATGAGAGAAAGAATGACTCTATAATTGGTTGGATGGAGTTGCCTTTAACTGAGCTGGGGAAGATGAAGTGGGTGGAGAAGGTTAGGGGGGTGATGAAGATCAGGAATCTAGTGTCGGGCATGTTGAGTTTGAGATGTCTAGTAGATGTCTAAATGGAGATATGGAATAAGCAGTTGGATATATGAGTCTGGAGTTCAGTGTAGAGAGGTCTGATGGAGAGAGTCATCATGGATAGATGATATTTAAACCTTAAGTGTGGCAGATATCCCAAGGGAGTAAGTGCAGTTAGAGTAGAGAAGAGGGCTGAGTCTGAGCTGGGTACCATAGCTGTAAGAGGTTAAAGAGACTGTGAGGAGCCAGCGAATAAGACTAGGAAGGGACCAGCACGGCCAAAAGAAAAGCAGGAGGGTGATTCTTTTAAAGTAAATCAGATCGTGTCATTCCTCTGTTTAAAACACCTCAGTGGGGCTTCCCTGGTGGCGCAGTGGTTGAGAATCTGCCTGCCAATGCAGACAACACAGGTTCGAGCCCTGGTCTGGGAAAATCCCACATGCCATGGAGCAACTGGGCCCGTGAGCCACAATTACTGAGCCTGCGCGTCTGGAGCCTGTGCTCCGCAACAACAGAGGCCGCGATAGTGAGAGGCCTGCGCACCGCGATGAAGAGTGACCCCCACTTGCCACAACTAGAGAAAGCCCATGCACAGAAATGAAGACCCAACACAGCCATAAATAAATAAATAAATACATTGTGTATAAAACACCTCAGTGGCTCCACCACTTCACTCAGATACAAAGTCAAGGACCCTACAGTGGCCTACAAGGCTATAGGATCTAGCCATCTGCTACCTCTGTGACCTCCACCCTCACCCTCTCACACACTGCTACAGCTACACTGGCCTCCCCTCTCTACCTCAGGGCCCTTGCACTGGCAGTTCCAACTGCTCTCCCGCAGATATTCACAATGCTAGTTCCTTCACCCCCTTCAAGTCTTTGCTTAAATGCCAGCTTTTTCAGTGTGGTCTCTGCCCTCATTACTCTAATACTGCAGCTTGCTCCCCTGCCTTCACCCTCCTGCCATTCCTCAACCCCTTTGCATGCTCTGCTTTTTTCCATAGCATTTTACCACCTTCTGTATCATTTGTCATTCTATATCACTTATGTCTTTGTTGTGTCTGTTATTTATTGCCTGTCTCCCCCTACTAGGGTGTACGTTCCACAAGATCAGAGATCTTTGTTTTGTTCATCTCTGTATCTCATTTACTTAGAACAGTACCTGGCACATAGGGAGAGCTCAATAAATATTTGTTGAATTCATTTAGTATGTAGGATCTCGGGCCCACTCTAATAGTCTCCACAGCTATTTTAGGAAGCCGCCAGGTAGGGGGTGGTTATTTCACAGGTGTGCCAGAACACCTGCTACTCGAGCTTACTGCCCCAGCCGTCCCCAGTCAGAAGGTTTCTGGTCAGGGTACGGCAGCCTTCTGCTAGAGACTGCACTGTAGTCTGCGGTAGAAAGTGGGAAGGGGATGGCTCGCCCACCTACTCTATGTAGCACATTGATTCTGGGTCCTAAAGTAGTTCTGCTGGCTGAGTCTCCCAAATGTCTCTTTAGGAACCTTAAACCAGACCATCAGCCCAGGTAGGGTGTCCCATTCACCACGTCGCCTCTTCTACTCTCCCAGAATCCTTTGCCTAACTCTCCAGGACCACTGCATCAAACCCTCTTCACTTTCAGCCTCAAAAACAAAATGCCCCCTGCATATCAAGTCATACATATAGGGCCCAGGGGGACCAACTCAGAAGCATCCTGACTGCATTCTGACAGGCTCAGCAGGGATACTCTGAGGCATTTAGTTAAGAGTTATTGAAACCAATCTGCCAACCTCTGCACCAGCCTCCATGGGGCTCCTCCTATCCATTCACACAGTTACACAGAAAAGCAGACTTGTGTGCAAGCCCAGTTTGGGTTTGCTCTGTCTGTGTGCACATAACATGATTTTCGACATCTTCTGGGGCATACTGCATCTAATGTTTTTTATCCCATTTGTTAAAGTTTTCTATTACCTCCGAAAGGGACTTCAGAGGCTATTATCTAGTGGCCTCAAAGGCTACTCCTCAGACTGGAAAAGCCTTGTGAGAACAGGGAGTTGGGAATTAGATCAGAGAAGAGAGGGCTTTCTTCCCGCTGCCTTGCTGTGGGGCTCCTCATTGTGCACTGATGGGAGGGCAGGGGCGCCTGAGCAGAATGAAAGTGCTGAGCAAAAGAGTGGTTTGAAGTGCTGTCTTTTCCCAGGAGATTTGAGTTTTGTGCCTAAGACGCTTTTTTCTATATGGAGGACGTGTCATAGAGCGCAGCTTTCAGTTCTAGCCAACCACACCCCAGGAAAGGGGAAAATATAATGTGACACAGAAGCAAAGGACATGATGAAGGAAGAAAGGATGGATTATCTGTGTCTTCATTCCTCCTAGCCTTTGAAGAAAAGGGAAGGGGACAGTTTGTGGGGAGGACTTTAGATCAATCTAGATGTGCTCCAAAACTTTTGAAGGGGGAATTGGGGTGATAAAAGTAATACTATTAATCTCTGACCTACAGATTCTTTGTTATTAAATATATCTACTTGCATATTCAACACATTTTTGAAGAGTACCCAGTCAGATCCTTGCTCTCTGAACTGGTAGTGCCTAGACAGGTATGAACGAGACAAAGCCCCTGCTTTCAGACAAATTCCAGTCCCCTGCTGTTCTCCAGGGCTGCTCATTAAGAATCCTGAAGTCTCTCACAATCACTGCCAAGGGCAGCTTTGCCCATCTGGCCAGTGTTTATTTTGCCACATGGTTCATCTCTGTTTCCTGTGCACTGCCTGGCATGCAGTAGGTGTTCAGAATGAATGAATGGATATGCTTATCAAGAATTCTTAGTAATTGAAACACAGACAATGTGGGCAAATAGCAGACTCGGTGTCCTAATCCCATGCTACTGGTCTGCTAAGCGTTTTACATCCTAGACATTAATGACAGGTATTTCCCTTTTTCCTTTCCTTTTGGAAACAGCACCAGTGGTTCTGACAGCTCCCTCTCAGATGGTCTCCCTGTTCACCTACTGAACACAGCAGGTGAGGTAAGATTATAGAGACTCTTGCACCCAGAAAGTAGCAGCCTAAAGAAACCATAACACTACTGGATAATTTGGAAGAATTTTCAACTATCCCAAGATCTGCAGAAAATACAGCAGTAACATCCTAACTGGTTACACTGCCCTGGAGTCTTTCATTTTGTCCTTTATAACTTTCTTTTTTAAATCTAGGGGGGAAACATGCGAGAACTCCATATTTATTCCAAAATTAATTAAAAGTGGGGAAAAAAAGTTTAACTAAAAGTAAAACCCATGTTAAGAGATAGAGGTTGTTAGAAATGACCCAGAATTTCCCTGGTGGCGCCATGGTTAAGAATCTGCCTGCCAATGCAGGGGACACGGGTTCCATCCCTGGTCCGGGAAGATCCCATATGCTGGGGAGCAACTAAGCCCCTGCGCCACAACTACTGAGCCCGCATGCCACAACTACTGAAGCCCGCTGCCTAGAGCCCGTGCTGCACAACAAAAGAAGCCACCGTAATGAGAAGCCGGCGCACCGCAACGAAGAGTAGCCCCTGCTCGCCGCAACTAGAGAAAACCCACACGCAGCAACGAAGACCCAACACAGCCAAAAATAAATAAATAAAATATAAATAAAAATTTTAAAAAATGACCCATACTTTTTTTTTTTATAAATTAATTTATTTATGGCTGCGTGGGGGCTTTTCTCTAGTTGCGGCGAGCGGGGGCTCCTCTTCGTTGCGGTGCGCGGGCTTCTCATTACAGTGGCTTCTCTTGTTGTACAACACGGGCTCTAGGCACGCGGGCTTCAGTAGTTGTGGCACGCGGGCTCAGTAGTTGTGGCTCACGGGCTCTAGAGCACAGTAGTCGTGGCACACGGGCTTAGTTGCTCCACGGCATGTAAGATCTTCCCAGACCAGGGCTCAAACCTGTGTCCCCTGCACTGGGAGGCAAATTGTTAACCACTGCGCCACCAGGGGAGTCCCACAAATGAGCCATACTTTTTAAAAAATGTACCTTTGTTTACATGGTCTTAGGTAGTTTTTTTATATTTCCACATATTAAGTAATTTTTCTTCTGCCCCGTCTATTAACAGACTTGTTTTTTACATAGATGGTATAAGAGCTTTAGAAACAGCAAACTGTTTGTTGTGGTTCACTGTGCACCTGATTTCCTAGTTGCATTAAGAAGTATCTTCATCATAGGGTGAGTTTAAGGCTGTGTCAGAAGGAACCAGCCATATCAGACTGGACCCTACAGTTTCTTCAGCTGGATTTACAGCAGCATCAGTATAAGCTTCACCACACCATAGGTACCTGGAAAATTAGTCCTGAGCTTCATTTGCTTAATTATTAAAGCCACCCTATGGTAACAACCAAACTGTATCTATTAAGCACACATCTAATAATCAGTCTTATCTGTACCTGCCAATATTGCCATAAATAATGTGCTTTCAAATTTTATATCACAGATATTTGGTTATTGGTATAGGTGCCCCTTTGGCAGTATATCTATAATAGGAGGATTTGGGCGGTGTTAAGTGGGGAGGGGTCTCTGGTAATGAGGTAACTGAACTGTTTTTTGATTCTCCAAACCAACAACAGTTCAACACTGTGAGGGCACACATACTGGGTTAGCCATTGTGTCTTGAGTGTTGTGTAAAAAGAGTGCTACGTGTGGGTGGGCGTACTGCTGGAATCCTCAATGGCTAATTTCTCTGTACTTCCTGGAATAGTTGAATCAGAAGAAGAAGATGTATAAGAAGAAAAAAAGGAAGCCACTTCAGTCTAGGAAACAGCGAAATAAACAGTATCAGAAAAGTAATTTGATGCAGGAGTCAAAGTTAACAGAAGATGCCCCAGTAAGAAAGCTCTGCTGCCTACTTCTACTGTCCAGTTAGAGTTTTCTACGGAGGGAGCAGGACGAAGAGTTAAGGTTTACTCTAAACCAGAAAGGGAATGGGAAATGGGGCAGGGGGAAGTTTTCTATATGGATTTCAGAACTCTTCCATGGGTCCTCTGGATATCCCTAAGCAGATTTCAGCTTAGCCCACTAATCCTCCACTACACTCTAGCACAGCAAGTCTGGGTTTCCACCAAGTCTGGATTTCCAGAGGAAGGAGATGGTAATGGGAAAGTGGTGGCTAGAACTAGACCAGAGATTCCAGGTGGCTGAGAATTCAGGCCTGGTCCAGGCTAAGGACACTTGGATACCTCCTTCCTGCCTGCCATGCCCACACCATACCCCCTGCTTTCTAAATATGAAAATGCTTTCAGAGGTGGGAGTTTTACTCTTGGGTGAATTGGGTCAGTTATGAGTAGATTAATTGTAATAGAGCAACTGAAAAATATTCTCTTTGCAATCCTTCTAGGAAGGGGCAGGGTTTGCTTCTACTCTGCAAAAGCAGCCTGCTTTTTACAAAAATTCAGAGAATACCAGTTCTTCAGTGATGAAAAATGAAAAACCAAGGTTGAATGAGGTAGTATTTTTGCTTGACTTTTTTTTTTTTTTTTTTACTCACTCATGGAAAATTTATTAAAACCTTTTTTTTGGTAATATGGTTAAAGTGTACAACATGATGATTTGATATATATATATATATATATATATATATATATATACACACATTGAGAAAGGATTGTCACTGTTTAGTTAATTAACACATCCTTCACCTCAAACAAATATTCACTTTTTTTTTTTTTTTTTGCTGAGAACTGTTAAGTCCTACTCTGTTAGCAAATTTAAATTATACAACACAGTACTGTCAGCTATAGGCACCATTCTATACATGGTAATCTTCACACCTCATTCATTTTATAACTGAAAGTTTGTATCCTTTTACCACCCTCTCCCTATTTTCCCCAATCCCAAGCACCTGGCAACCACCATTCTACTCTCTGTTTCTATGAGTTTGAATTTTTTTTTTTAGATTCCACATATAAGTGATACCATGCAGCATTTTTCTTTGTCTGGCTCATTTCACTTAGCATAATGCCCTCCACCTATGTGCATATATTTTGTTGCAAATGGCAGGATTTGCTTCCTTTTTAAGGCTGAATTATATTGTTTGCAAGTATTTTCTCCCATTCAATAGGTTATCTTTTCATTTTATTGATTGTTTCCTTCGTTGTGCAGAAGCTTTTCAGTTTTAGTCTCGCTTGTTTATTTTTGCTTTGATTGTCTTTGCTTTTGATGTCAAATCCAAAAAATCATTGCCAATGTCAAGGACTTTACCCCCTATGTTTTCTTCTAAAAATTTTACAGTTTGGGATCTTGAATTTAAATTTTTAATCCATTTTGGGTTGACTTTTGTGTATGGTATAAGACGGGGTACAGTTGAATTCTTTTGCGCATGTGGATAGCTAGTTTTCCTAGCACCATTTATTAAGGATACAGACTTTTCCCCACTGGTTATTTTTGGCTCCTGTGTTGAAAATTAATTGACTATATATGCATGAGTTTATTTCTGGGCTTTCTATTCTGTTCCATTCTTGACTTTTTGTCACACAGATTCTCTGATTTTTCCAATTAGTACGTCTCTCTTGGAGGGTGAAGAGTGCAATAGCCCTCTGTTACTCTTACTGTCAGTGCCACTGGGAGCAGGGGAACATTAAAATTTGTGGGGACACTGACACTGCTTTGGATTAGACACCACTGAAGTCTGATATCACATATTAGTGAATTGTGATTTTATACCCAAAACAAGAGCGGGCTGCTTTACCATCCATCCAGCCATTCAGCAAATTGTATTGTGTAACTACTGCATGCCAGGCTGTCTACTGGATGCTGGGAGTGCAACATTGAACAAAACACTATCCCTGCCTCAGGGACCTTAGGGTCTGCTGGGTATTTTAATGAGTAAGCAGGAAGTTACATACAGAGTAGGATGCAGTAGGAAACAGAGGAGACAAATTCACCCAACTTTTAGTACTTTGGAGTGTGGCTATAAAATCCTTGATTCTTTTATGTATAAAAATAGGTTTGGGTACAATAGTAGCCAAATAGGGTGCATGAGGCCCTCCTCATGTGGAATGCTGCCCTGTGGTTAGGAATGATAGAATAAGGTCCCACAGCATTACACGGAGGAGCCCGCACAAAGCACAGCCATCTCTGTTCAGTATTGAGGGCCATTTGGTGTCTAGTGTAATAAAGGCAAGAGCACAAGCTATGGGGTCTGTCTTGAGTTCAAATTCCATCCCCACTATGTAGTTTTCCATGAGTTACTTAACCACCCAGGGGCTCAGTTGCTGCATCTAAAATGTTGAGGTGATAATATCTACACATAAGGTTGTTGAGAATATTCAATGTGAAACCGTGTGTGAAGTGCCTGTCATATGGTAGGCATTCAATAAGTATTAGTTTCCTTCTTTTCTTCAAATTACTATTTGTTTGTGTTCTGCCTCTCTTTTCATGTTAGAGTATCATAATGAATCAACATGCATGAATAAAAATTACTCTGTGTGTTTTATATAATCACACTTGTCCAAGTGGAAAATTTAGTGAGAATGTGTTCATTTATTTCAGTTAAATGGAAGAGACAAAGGCACCTCCCTGGGCCCATCAAAAATGACCACCTTGATTTTGACTAAGAATAAAGAGAGAATGCAGGTATTTCACCTAATATATGCATATATATGCCAGCAATTAATTTATTTTTCAAATGTATTATGTGATTTGGAGGGCTGGTGATCTGCAATCCACACAGTATCACCTCCTTGGATTTGTTCTGCTGAGGTGAACATCTAACGTAGTTTGCACTCTCAGGCTACAAAACACCTGACCAGCCAGGGGCATTGCCCACAAAGTACTGCAGGATGGAGGAAGCCCACCCAGGGCTGAAAGCTTGCCACAGAGAATTTAGTTTCATTTCAATGAACATTTGTTAGGCAGCTATTATTTTGTAAATCCATGGCAACATTTCAGGTAAAAAGTGATGGTGAACGCAGTGGTTCTGAACCCTAGGAGGTGTTAACAAACTGGGGTGCCACCATCAGTTGTGAGGGGTGTTTCACATCCACTGTTACAGTGATCGTTCAGTACCGAGGTTTGTGAACGATTTGCTTTTTTAAAATAATGTTAGAATGAATTCCTATTTATCCCTATAATAACATCTCTCTTGCTCCTTTGCACTTGCATATTCTTTCCTGAGAGGGAGGAAAAAGAAGTAAAGAAACAGCTGGTGAGCTGTGGTTTCAAATAGCCCTGATTGTGTCTGTGGGAAAGTGCTGCTCACCTGTGTCCGGGTGGAGCAAAGATTGAGGACCACTGGATTACTGTAGGTGCGCTAGGTATAGAATGGATGATTCTCTCAAAGTGAAGTCCCTGCCATCTTCCCAAGTCTGCTGCTTGGCAGTTCTCAGGATGATGCTCTCATTTACCCGTCAGTATTTTATGGAGGACCTACTATGTGTGGGGCTGTTTGAAGACTGTATGACATGAGCCCTCCCTTAAGGCCGTGATCCTCTAGGAGGGGTAACAAGGTAGATAGTCCAACCACCATGATATAACAGAAACAGAGCAGTGAAAAGAGAGATGTAGATAAAGTCAAATCAAAGAGGATTCTGTCCTGACACACTGATAAGTGATGACTGTCCTCTTTCCTCATACAGCATCCACTGCAGGATGTCTGTGGGTGGCTAAAACCATATCCTACCACTGAAACATGCAAGCTAGGCTGTAACATGTAACCAGGGATTCAGTTAAACGCAATGTAGTAGACGAATGCCATCCAAACCTTTACTTTTACTTCATTTTCTTTAAATTTCTAATTTAATGTTTCTGTAACAGAGATGTAGGCATTTAAATTCCATGGCAGGTCAGATAAGCAGAGTTTAAAAAAGGGGACAGTCTCCCAGCTTGTAAAGTAAGCTCCTCTCTTCTTTTGCGTAATGTTTCTAGACAGCTTATAAAATGCAGTCCCTAAACTTCTCAGGGCAATTAAAACATTGCCCTTGGACCTTTCTTTGGCTATCAGAGGGACTAGGACAAATGCTTGATTGACCCCTGCCCTGTAACAACGCCAGCTACTTTGGTATTTGAGGGGAAATGCAAATACTTCTCACTGACTCCTGCGAAACCAGCACCAATTGCAGCATCAAATGGTTCACCTTTTATGTCTTGTTTGCACAGAGAGAGAAGCCAGGATTTACAGTATCGTGCTCTCCAAAGAGAAACACAAACCCCAGCCAAGAGCCAGCTCCAGATATGAAGCCAAACTGGTCCAGGAACAGATATCCTGCCACAAAGGGAGGCCGGACGACTGCGGTGGTATACCCATCCTTGCACATATACACCTACCCATAGGGTGCCTGGGCCATGCCACACAGGCGCTTCCTTGCTGTGTTTTGGCTTAGACACATTTTGTAACAAAGGGATTTGTATGCTAAGGAATTACGTTCATTTGTGGTATTCTGTGTTGTGTGTTCATCATGCACTGTCCGCACCCCAGGTGCTTACACTGTGTTCATGCTCTCAAGATGCATACCTCACAAACTATTTTTTCATAAAATGAAATTTTATTGTGATGTATCCAAAAGCTTCCCTTATCAGAAATTGAAGTGTGTGCTCGTGAAACTACAACACAGATATACCTCAGTTTAACCAATAAATATTCTCTCTAAAATTATGTGCAAATCAATTTTAAAAGTGCAAACTCTGTTTTAAACATATTCTGGGAGTTTACTATGTTAAAAGTCTTGTGTCAAAGCTTTCTAGTGTTCAATGATTAGTCTGACTGGGGTATATCAGGTTTGCTCAGGGTGAGGTGTCCCCACATAGAGAAAACAACTCATGTACTACCTGGAAGTCAATGTTGCATATATTATGTTCAGCATGGTTATATAAGTTTTTTAACCCGTTGATTAAAATTCTTTCTCTCCCACAAATTGTTCCCTTTGATTGGTTAACTGCATAATCTTGTGTGAATAGATATTTTAGATTTTCTATCCCTCGTAAGCACCAAGCACCATCTGCCGGCTACAGCCTGCATGTCAACGTGCTGGAGTCATGTTAAACAAGGGTCACTCCAGTTCATGCCAGGCCTCCTGTTTTGACTTTACCTGCTTCCTTTCACATTGGATTGAAAGTTTCTAGTACGTTTTTTGTCATCCCTTTTAAACTCTTGCAGCCACCACCGCTACCTAGATGACTAGAGATTAGAACAAAATGGCAACACATTTTATTATAATCCCAGTGTCTGTGTCTTTTTTTTTTTAATTAATAGACTTTATTTTGAGAACAGTTCTAGATTTACAAAGAAACTGAGGAAATAGTACAGAGAGTTCCCATATACTGCCCACCTCTCCCCACACACACTGTGTGCGTGGATTTTTTTTGGTTTTGCTTTTGTTTTTAATTTATTTATCTATTTATTTTTGGCTACGTTGGGTCTTCGTTGCTGCACGAGGGCTTTCTTTAGTTGCGGCGAGCAGGGGCTCCTCGTCGTTGTGGTGAGCGGGCTTCTCACTGTGGTGCCTTCTCTTGTTGCGGAGCATGGGCTCTAGGCGCACGGGCTTCAGTAGTTGTGGCACGTGGGCTTAGTAGTTGTGGCTTACGGGCTCTAGAGCACAGGCTCAGTAGTTGTGGCGCACGGGCTTAGTTGCTCTGCGGCATGTGGGATCCTCCCATACAGGGCTTGAACCCATGTCCCCTGCATTGGCAGGCGGATTCTTAACCGCTGTGCCACCAGGGAAGCTCTGTGTATGTGTTTTTAAAGGGAATATCTGCCCATGCTCTTTACATAGGAGTTTGCAAATGGCCTTCTTCTATTCCACATCTTACACCCTAAAACTATTAGTCAACACTTTAAGTATCTAGAAATCACCCAGCCAAAACCCTACTTTTTGTTCCTAAAAGGATATCTTTAAAGGACAAGTCCCAAAACAAACCACTGAGAGCAAACCTTGTTTGAAAGTTGTTTAGAAATACTTGTTTTTTGCTCCAAATAATTTTGGAAGAAGTTTATTAAAAGCACCCCAGTATGGAAATTGAGCTATTTGTAATGAGGTGGATAGACCTAGAGTCTGTCATACAGAGTGAAGTAAGTCAGAAAGAGAAAAACAAATACCGTATGCTAACACATATATATGGAATTTAAGGGAAAAAAAATGTCATGAAGAACCTAGGGGTAAAACAGGAATAAAGACACAGACCTACTGGAGAACAGACTTGAGGATATGGGGAGGGGGAAGGGTGAGCTGTGATAGGGCGAGAGAGAGACATGGACATATATATACTAACAAACGTAAGGTAGATAGCCAGTGGGAAGCAGCCGCATGGCACAGGGATACCGGCTCGGTTCTTTGTGGCTGCCTGGAGGGGTGGGATAGGGAGGGTGGGAGGGAGGGAGACAAAGACGGAAGAGATATGGGAACATATGTATATGTATAACTGATTCACTCTGTTATAAAGCAGAAACTAACACCATTGTAAAGCAATTATACCCCAATAAAGATGTTAAAAAAATAAAATAAAATAAAATAAAGCACCCCAGTATGATATTTTTGGAATAAAAAACTAGAGTACATGATCAGATTTTTTTTAAGTGCTTTTTGAGAGTGAAAAGCTTCCTGAGAGCTGTGGTTTGGCTGCTATCAAAGGGGCAGAAAGGAGAGAATCCTATGCAATCCAGGCACAGCCTCCACATCCAATAATTGCCAAAAGGCCATGGCAGTTCAGTGTTGGGCCCTGCCCAGCTCACAGTCAGTCCTGTAAAGTAGTAGCTATTTGTTTTCTTTAGAAAAGAGGGGCAAGTTTGCCTGCTTAGATTAAGAGAAAGTGTCCCGCAGGGCACTTACGTGCTACAGCATCTAAGCCAATATGCCTCTCATTTCTCATTGTGCTTTTTTTAAACATATCTTTTTAAAATAAATTTATTTACTTTTTTTTTTTTTTTGGCTGCGCTGGGTCTTTGTTGCTGTGCGCCGGCTTTCTCCAGTTGCGGCGAGTGGTCTTCGTCGTGGTGTGCGGGCTTCTCATTGCGGTGGCTTCTCTTGTTGCGGAGCATGGGCTCTAGGCACACGGGCTTCAGTAGTTGTGGCACATGGGCTCAGTAGTTGTGGCTCACAGGCTCTAGAGCACAGGCTCAGTAGTTGTGGTACACAACTATAGAGAGAAATAATGCTATGTGAAAATTCTAACTTCCTGCCGGCACTCCTACCCTAAGACATGGGCTCTTCCCCCAAATTCATCAGTCAGAAAGAGTGCACTCAGCAGTGATTTAGGAACTAAGGAGAATACAGTGATGTGTCAGACTCCATTCCTGTGCTTAAAGCCCAGGTGGGAACAGACTAGTGAACCAAAGCAAGCCTGTCAGTAAGACACTCTGCTGTAGCTTTAGAACGTTGTTGTGGGTTAAAGAGAGCCACCAACTGAAATGTGAAATACCTGGGTTTGAATCCCACCCAGGCTCGGGGGTGGTGGGTGCAGTTGCTTAACAGCTCTGAACCTTCGTTCTCTGACCTGAAAAGTGAAGTGACTGTCCAGGTGAAGTGATCTCTAAGGCCCCTTCATTTTTACAAAATCATGTTGGTTTGAATACTTCCCCCAGCTGTTGATCATGGATTGCAGTAAGGTGCCTAGAACAGCTTCCCTCTTGGGCCTGAACCAGCTAGGTCCTGTCACCCAGCCTCTGGTCCTCGGGGAAACAAAGCCACTTTGGTGGCTCTAAGTACAGCCCCCTCCCCTCCCGCCCCCC